GGATCTTAAAGAGTACTTATTCCATACCTTCATTATACAGGTGAATCTCTGATGCACAGGGAAGAATAATCATACCTGCCTTTTATTGGGCATCTATGTGATTCATATAAATTATCCATCTGTGTGCTAAATGATAAGACTGGAATTGTTATCCTCATGTTACAGATTAGACAGCTGGAAGTGAGGTAAGCTAATTGCCCAAAGTCACACAGCTAGGAAGTTGTAGAGCCAAAGCTACTCCTTTCACACTATTCATTGTTCTTACTAAAAATCTCATAGGAAATTAGCTGCAAAACCAAAATTAGAACCAAGATCTTGAGGCCCAGTCCTGTGCTCTTCCCACTCTCTCAGGCACTGTGTTTATTTTGAAGCTTTTCTGGGAAGGATTCCACACAACCCAGGTAGCATGTTTAATATCTCGCAATTAAGAGGCCTCAATTTATGTTGAATAGAGACTTATGCCCCAGAACCAACTTCTTCCTCAATGCCATCTTAGTTTCTTTTTTTTTTTTTTTTTTGTAATAACGTATGCAATCCCCCTTGGGTTTTAAGATTCATTGATTGATTTTGAGACGGAGTTTCACTCTTGTCTCCCGGGCTGGAGTACAATGGCATGATCTCGGCTCACTGTAACCTGTGCCTCCCTGGCTCAAGTAATTCTCCTGCTTCAGCCTCCCCAGTAGCTGGGATTACAGATGAGCACTACCACACCCAGCTAATTTTTGTATTAATAGAGTCAGGGTTTCCCCATGTTGACCGGGCTAGTCTCAAAGTCCTAACCTCAGGTAATCTGCCCGCCTCAGCCTCCCAAAGTGCTGGGATTACGTAAAGGCATGAGCCACATGTCTGGCCAAGATGTCTTAATCAATGGTGATAAATGTTTTTGTTTCACCTGTGACTCATTCAGTTTTATAAGAAAAACATCAAGGAATCCAATGGAAAATGAGGCAAAGGCATAAAATAGCAATTTATGCAAGAGGAAACGAAAAGAGCATAACAACACATGGAATAAATCGACTGCTTTACTACAAATAACCATTAAATTAGTTATTTTTTTCTGTAACCTAATAACTCCCAGTGTTGGTGAGGTCATGGTAAAATGATTCTCTGTTGATGGTAGTGAAACTTTTGCAAAGCACTACAGCATGCATAAAAGGAGTCATAAAATGGTCATACCATTCAACTCTACGCCTTTGTCCCTGGAAATTATCTAAAGAAATCATTGAGTAGGGGGGAAAAAGCCCAAAAACCTAGATTAATGAAAATGTTCATTGCAGTGTTGTCTATACTGTTTTAAAAAATTTTTTAATGAAAAGAAACAATGTAAATATTAAACACCAGAGAACCAATTAGACAAATGTTGGTATATTGACTTAACAAACAGTATGATGTAACCATTTTAAATGATCATTAATAGAAGTGTGTGATATTATGAAAGTGCTTATGCTATCACATGAGCTATAAGAAACTAGAATACAAAATTGTATATTATAATGTACCTGTGAAAATTAATATGCACATGAACAAAACAGAAAGGTAGTATACAAAATAAAAATGCTCTTCTAGTGTAGGGGGGTTATAGGTCATTTCTTTTCCTTTCTCGGAGCTTTCTTTAAACCGGGGTGTTACATCGTCTTAGTTGTTTAAAAGACTAAGTTAAAACAAAATAGCACAGGCAATCTGAGCTGTGAATCGAGAGTTAAAGGACCTGAGTTTTCTTCTTTTTTGTTTCCCAACATAATGTGTGCTATTGGCCTTCATAAACCTTAATTTCTCCATCTGCACAATGGGTTAACACTAGTTTTCTTTACCCCAGATTGATAGAATATTTATTTTTATAATGCTTTTAACTCACTGAATGCAAGCATTCATATAAATTTGGTCCTAGGAGAATGAAGGGCAGGAGAGAAAGAAAGGAAAAAATAAATAGGCATAATTAATTTTAAAATGAAAGATCATCTGCTTTAATTGGAAATGTATGTGTACTGTGCCCTAGTCAGAGTTTTAAGTGCACTTCATGTTAGTTAGCAACTTCAGTCTTAAGTACTGTGTGATCCTCTGGGCTTTGGAGATATGAAGCCTCTATACATACACATGAGCTAAAATTACCACGTAATCACCAGGATGTGTGCACTTTGAATAATTAAGTGTACTAAGCATCTCCAGCTGATGGATTGATGATGTGGAAGAGTAGTGCAAAACCCACGTGACACAGGCGATTACAAGACACTTTGAAATGATAGCTTAATTTTCAAGCTTTTTTTTTTTGCTCATGCTTTCTCTGTTAGCCATTATGGGCAAGTAAAAGAGATTTGATTATCTTGTTTCCTGTGAAAGGTTATTTAGCCCCTCAATCCCATTAAGTCACTTTCTGCACTCCAGTGCACAGAGCCTTCACCAGGTTATCAGCCCAGGAAGAGTAAATGGAGACACTAGGATCGGATTTCTAAAGGAAGGAAAGTTAAAGCAAAGTTTGAAAGGGGTGACAGCCAACAGCCATGAGCTTAGGAACTCAATTAGACTAAAAAGACAACTATCTCATTATCTCGTTCCAAAATGATCTAAATACATAAGAATCTAAAAGTTTTAAATAAACTTGTCCTGCCGACTGTCTAGATGACTGAATTTCCCTTCTCAAAAAATTTTTAAACACCCGCTTTCATATTTATTTATTCTAAGCGCAAAGCAGCTGCGATAATTATGCTGTCAGCCTCGGGAAGCTAATGAGGAGTCACCGGAGTGGAAGGTTTTGCATTTGTGAGATTGCTGAAGGAGAGCCACGCTACAGCTTTTTTCGTTTTTTCTTTCCCTTTCTTTCTTCCTCCTCTTTCTTTTTCTATGAGTTGGGAAGGAGAGTCTGGCAGTCCACGGCCAAATTGGAATCCTTTTGATTAACCGGTTCCCTTCCCAACATGTTCTGCCAGATAATGTCTCCCTCTCTCTCCCTCCCTGCTTCTGAGGCGCTGCTGCTTTTGAGGGGCAAGAAAGCCCGAGGGAAATCCCAGCTTTTCATGCCACTGTCCCCAAGGCAAGAGGATACTTCTCCCTGAGAGAAGTTCCCCAAATGATTTGGATTTGAGTTGGTTTGAGAATAATCGGTAAAGTATATGCACTGTTTATTTTAGCTGTTTAACTGTCTATACTATGACAAGAGCTAAAAGAAAGTAGAATACAAAATTGCATATTATAATGTCCTTGTGAAAATGTCTTATGCATAGCAACAAAGTATGATGGTTCCCCTTTCCAGCCTAGCCAATACGCGATTCCAAATAGAAGAAGATGAGACCACAGATTACCCACCGCATTTAAGGCAGAAGTGTAGGCCAGGAGAGGCAGAGCTGGCAAGTTTATTTCTTCCAGCAAACAACATTATTAAGGCATTTTATGCTTTTGGTGCACTAAGAACAGAGGCGTCTCTTTTTGTTAAATTGTGAGGTATTTTGACCAACCCAGGTTTATGCAGATTGTGAACCTGGGAAAAGCAATACTCACATGGAAGGGGGCCCTTGGCCAATTTTGTGGGTGTACTTCCGCGACAATGTGGCTGCTGCCTGTTGCTATTTTTCTCAGGTATCTATGCTAACACTTCTAACAATAGCTACCGTTTATTAAGAACATATTGTGTATCAGAAACTAACCCAAAGTGTTTTGCATATATTCTCTTCTTTAAACTTACAGCAGTCTGCCAGGAAGTTTTATTTTCCCCATTTTTTGGATAAGCCCCTTGCCGTGTCAACAGCAGTGAACTTTAGTGCAGTGAGCATTCGAGAGCAGCAGGCACTTACCAAACTCGGGACTTGGGAAAATGCAAATTGCCAGTGTTCTAAGCTAACCAAATACCTGGTTTGGACTTCAAAAGTAGTATATACATTTTCAAATAGTTCATTTTTTTCAATTTGCAAAAGTTGCACCTTAAAGTCTATATAAATAGATTGCCAGCGGGGCACGGTGGCTCATGCCTGTAATCCCAGCACTTTTGGAGGCCAAGGCAGGTGGATCACCTGAGGTCAGGAGATCAAGACCAGCCTGGCCAACATGGTGAAACACCATCTCTGCTAAAAATACAAAAATTAGCCAGGTGTGGTGGTGCTCACCTGTAATCCCAGCTACTGGGAGACTGAGGCAGAAGAATCACTTGAACCCAGGAGGCAGAGGTTGTAGTGAGTCGAGATCGTGCCACTGCCCTCTAGCCTGGGCAACAGGGCGAGACTCTGTGTCCAAAAGAAAAAAAAAGATTGCCTAAAGTATCTAACAAGAATGGAAATTTTCTAAAACGTATCTAGCCCAACATGATGCTCATTGTCTCTCACCCTCTAACGTCACCCTCTAACTAACTTCACCCTCTAACGTCTCCCTCTAACTAACGTCACCCTCTAACATCCAGACTCCTTGGCATGACATTAGCTTCCTTCACCATCTGGTTCCAACCATTTTTCCAACGTTGTCTCCCAGTCTGTCTTGTTCTAACCATGCAAGATGACTTGCGGTTCTCTCAAGCACTTTTCTTCCTTCATGTCTTTGCTCATGCTGATCCCTCTCCAGGAATATCCTCCTTGAAACTCATTCACTATTGAGAGCAGAGTCATCCTTCAGGTCTCAAAGGGCATCTGGTCTGTGCTCTCTTTGTGCTCTGAAGACTTGGAGGGAGGGGTTAACATAATCCTTTGTTTGTACCTCACTTTTGGTCCTTGTTCATATGTGTATGTGTGTTTCCCTCCCAGTTTTATTCCTATTTTTATCATCTTCAACACAAAGCATACTGCCTTGCACAAGTGTTCACTAAGTAAATATGCATTAAATTGAATTAAATAGGAGGCACTTGCAACTATTAGTAGATTCAGTAAAGTGAGTCACCCGTGAGTCAGTATGAATTATTAGTAAATAAGTCTGGCTCATGTTTTGACATTTCTTCAGGTGACAAACATTACAACAGACAGAAATACACCACAAAAGATCCCAGGAAATAACATATTGGTGCTTCTCTCTTTTCATTCCTACAGAGGAGTCTTTGTTTACAGTTTCAGGAGTGACGCTTAAGCCAGAAATGTGTGACCTTTTGGCCTCCTGCCAGAAAGGTCACCACTCAGCCCAGTTTAGCAAATGCTGGTGAAAAGAAAGGGTGAGATCACCAAGGTTCTTCCAGGTAAGTGGTCACAACAGTGAGGTTCCTTATGGACAAAATTGAAAAGTAATTGCTGCCAGGTGGAGAGGATGTTGCTCAGGGATTCAGAGCACCTCTGTGCTGTTTCTAGTTCTTCCTCACCAGCTCTAGGACAGGTGTCTTCACCTCTTCAGGCCTCCATTGCCTGGCTGGGCAAAGAGAATAATAACATGCATTGCCCTTCTCGCCCACTCCCAGAGCAGGGATAGAGTTCCTAAGACAGAACTTCCACGCTTCCACATCAGTGTGAGGCCTTCAGCTGACACAGGTGGAACCAAGGGGTTTCCTGGGATGCAGGATGCTCAGCGCTAGAACTGGCACAGTCCTGGACAAAAACCAGGAGAGTTGGTCACTTTTATGGCACAAATTACCTTCCAGGGTAATCTTGAGGAAGAAGGGGTGCTATGAAGGATTTTCCCAAAGCCACCAGACCCTTAAATGAGTACGACTAGCAGGCACAAGAAGCCAGGTGGGACAACTCCAAAAGTCACCATAGAATAGACAACCCTACAGATGTTTCAAGAGCACTTCCCATCTGGGGCTTCCATGGTGGTAGATGCGACAGCAATCAAGGTAGAGCCCACATGCAGAACTCGCCAGCCCGCCTGCCTGCCCTGTAGGTGACCCTGGCTATATCCCAAACCATAAGCATTATCCTCTGATTTGGCCACCCATTTGACAATCACAGCTTGGCCATGCTTCCCAGGAGCCTAGATGGTAACCACTGGCATTCCCCTATGAACTTCCCAACAATATCACTCACGTGACCGGATTCACTCTTCATTCTTTCTTTTGATCTCTATCTTTGGCTGTCACTATTTAAAGGCATATACACATTAAAGATGTCTACTTTCTAGGTCTTTTAAGATCATTGTTGTCTTCAAAGAGCAGGGAAGTTTAAAATTATAGCTGATCCTCAGAGAATTTTATGAAATATCTAAGTTTGTATTTTGACAATATACCTTTAGAATTATAATCGGTAATATGATATGGTATTTCCCAAGCAATATATTTTCTAGAGCAGAGCTTTTACCATAGAATTACCATTTCAAACCTCCTAGTTATAAGGACAGAATGAACTTTAGCTGCATTCTGTGATGTGAGGGGCTTACCCTTCATAAAATTATCCAAGACACTAATGAAAATGGGCTCAGATGGTGGTGCTCCACTAATGTTATTACTATTTCTATCGTTATTTTCATAAGCAGCTGGAAGATAGGGAAATAACCTTGCCTTTCTGATCTACAGTAACCTTCCACAAAGAATTGTTACCTGTAGTGTAGACATAAACTGGTCACAATAGAAAATCAATTAAATGCAGCATGTCAAGCTTGTGGCCTCCATCAGCAACTGAAAAAGGGAAAAGGCAGATTTTGCCTCTGCTGGAGTAATCTCATGAGGTCCCTAGGCCTTGGTACGAATGTAAGAAGATAAAACTGAGATGAGCCACAAGAGGGAAAAGCTAGAGCAATTAAACTGTTTAATAAATGGCTTGGGATCAGCAAAATCTAGAGTGCTAGAGTTAAAGAGACTAAAAGCAGTAATCACATGGACACTTGGGGCCTGTAAATCTTTTCCACCAAATTGAATTTATGTTAAAATATTCACTTTTCAGGAGAGTCAAAATGTAAATTGGGGTATTAGGACTTTGTAACTGGAAGCAATGCCTCAAAATTAAGACTCTTGAAAAATCTTCAAAACGTTGGTTTCAGGCAGGGAAAAAAATGTATACTGATGTCTACAGCAGAGAAATTGAGGGGAACTAAAATTTACTGGATAGATACCACACACAGGCACTTCAGGGAGGGCTTTATACATATTCTTTCAAAACTTGGCATGTTTTGAGCAGTCGGTGGTAGTGAGTTACAATGATAGTTTATAAAATCTATCTGGAGATAGATTTTGATTATTTGTAAAGCTTTCTTAGTTCTTACAACCGGAGTTAAGATGATACTTCTCTTACACTTTATCATTACCTTTTCCATCAGTATATACAATGTCTTCAATAACTTTGCAATGTTTAACTGATTTCCCTTCATCAGTACTCTGTTGTGCATTATTTTGATTGTGTTTATTTTTCATTACTTCCAGGACTGTATTTCTGCTGTTTTGAGTTTCATTTGCTTCAGCCTACTACGAAGCTTCAAATCTAACTCCATACTGAACAAGGGGTTTTATGCCCTCGCTTATGACCTGGAATATTTTAAATATGATGTTCAAGGTGACAGTACAAATACTAGAAGAAAATGCAATGGAAGGTCATTGCTATTGTCATTTGCGTAGAATTTAAGCGATTGATTAAAAAATTAGACATAAACTAAGATAGTCTGAGAAGAGGGCTTCTGAATAATTTCATTCATTTTGTCATTTGATAGAGAGATTCCTGGGCCAGAAGGTTGATTTCCCAAAAAGACTGATAAGAGACTGATGATTGAAAGAATCTGGAGACAGAGTTGATGCTTAACAGAGACCTGCCACTCCTGTATGTACTTACAATTTCTCTCAACAAAAGGATTTCTGTGGCAAGGAGAAAACTTGTCTAAAGTTTAGAAAAGTCTCTAGGGAAGATGGTTTCTTGGATAACATTGTCAACAAAAGGACTTGCTGAGAACTGTTGATTATTATTTCCTAGGGGGCGCTTCCTCCCTCACTAAACTGGATTATCAGAACACATCACCACCCAACGCAGATTTTAGGAGTTTGGATTTGGCTGCTGGTTAGAATTAAATTTCAGGCTATCTCCTCCTTCTGAATCTTAATTGTCTTTGATGATGGCAACAGTGACGGGGAATCTAAGCACTGGTTTGATGGTGGAGATATTGAATAAATAGATGGGAGCAGAGTTCCAAAGATGTAATTTAAGCTCTGTTTCACCACCAGACACACACACACAGACACACACACACACACCTCAAGTAAAATGAGAGATCTGTCTTAGCTGCACATGTGCCGTTTTATACAATGACTCCTTCTAAAAGAAGCCAGGGAAACTCAAATTACTTCTGCCTAGGGATCTTCTCAGGAAATGCAGTAGCCTAGTAACCAGAGACCTCTGTATATCCTTTGGAAGAACAAGGAGGAACTAATTAAGAGAGAATTAAAAAATAGTAACTATCCCCCAACATCTGAGATGGAGAAAGGAAAGACACATGGATAGCCCAAATAAATTACTGAGTAAGTATTTTATTTTAGTAAAGAATTTGACAAAGATTGTCCAACTATGCCTAAAAGATGAAACAGTGTGGGCTGGGTGATGGAGCAGATATATGTGTTCAAATAATGGTGGTTGTTTAACCTGGAGAAAGGCCAGTCGTGGTGTGGCACAAGGTTCAGTCTGGAGTCCTGTTCTAGTCAAATATTCTTATTAATCACTTGAATAAATCAGAATAGATGGCCAACTTATTCATACAACTCCTTGGAGTAAGTATTATTATTAATCTATGACTTCCATTTTACAAAAGAGGAAACTGAGGCTCAGTGCAGTTAAATAATCCCTTCATAGTAGCGTGCCAGAGTTAAGACACAAACCTCAGGTCTGGCTCTCCAGTGTTCCTGATACCTATCAGATTTAAAGAATATATAACTCTTGCAGAGGCAGCTGCTATTTAGTATTGGATCATGATTCAAAAGAGACCTTGCTAGAAGCCATATGACTTAGTGGAAATTGGTGCTTTTAAGTACAATATGAATTAATAGTACAATTTGGCTTACCCAGAGATAATGCTAGTACCAGTCAAAAGCTCAGGATGCTACTACTGATGCACCAGCAAGCGTTCTTGAGCAGTTTCAGCTGTCCACTGATAAACTGAGTTTCTACCACTGTAGTAGAATTCCTCTGCCTCCCTGAAGATAGAGCTGTAGGAGGGATTCCCATATTGGAGGTTAGAACAGCTGACCTCTAATGTCCCATCTAATTCCAAGATTCTCCAATAATGACCTTGGAACAACTGTAGACAGGCTATACTTGGGATTATGGTAAGATACTATTGCTGCAGGAATGGATAGACAGATTTTGTTTTTAAAAAATTGATTTTTTTCAGTGGAAGTTGACAGAATTATCCTCTTTATAATGGAAGATACATTATGCTTGTGCCTCCTTCTTTTTTCTTCTTTAACAGATTGACCTATTCAAAAGCCTAATAAAAATACGTAAGACTCTAAAATGTCATTTACATTTTTTATATCTCAGTTTTGTAAAATAAACATTCCTGGAATTTGTGCATATTTTTTCATCCCATGTTTTTGTTGTTTCTTTTGTATAGACAGGCACCGCACTTTTAAAAACATAATTTATTTTTGTTCAGTTTGAGGCACTAGTTATTTTAATGACGCTTGCTTACTTATCCACTAGTGCTATTCACCTAATATTTCTGTCTTCCAGGCATCTATAATGGGGTGGCACTTCTTGGCTCTCTGATGGATGGATACAGCCATGTGGTTAGTTCTGGCCAATGAATTGTGAGAGGAAGCGACATGTGTCACTACTGGGCCAAGCATTCATTTATTACCAGTGCAAGACCCTCCAAATTTCTTTTTTTATTTGTTTGTTTGGTTGGTTTTTGGTTTTTGAGATGGGGTCTCGCTATGTGGCCTAGGCTGGAGTGCAGTGACTATTCACAGGTTGTGATCACCACACACTGCAGCCTCAAACTCCAGGGCTTAAGCAATCCCCCACCTCAGCCTCCCAAGTCAACTCAGCTGGGACTACAGGTGTCCACCACATATCCAACTCAAATTTCTTTTTACTCCTTGGTTCCAGTGACCAGCAGTGTTTAAGATGATCCCAGAATGAGGAGATGTAGAACAGAGTTCTCGGATGACATATGATGAGGTGTAGTGGAAGAGAGAAATAAAACTTTATTGTTTTAAGCCACTAATATTTTGAGCTTATTTCTTACTATAGGATAACCTAGTTTATCCTGACTGCTGCCAGGACACATAAAACACACACCTGCATGATCCAACATGGTAGCTACTAGCTACATGGTGACTATATTTACATTTGAATTAGTTATTAAATTTAAAGATCAGTTTCTCAGTCATGTTGACCATATTTCAAATGTTCAATAGCTCAGAGGCTGGTGGCTGCCATATTGCCTGGTGCAGATACAGAACATTGCTATTATTGCCGCAAGTTCTGTTGAACAGTGCTGACATAGTGTCAGGATTATATGAGCCTTGATAGTGATGTCTTCTAACATTTCTTGATATTTTAAGTGTGCATTTAATACCACCTTGAAAATAGTCTCAAAAGGTTTTGGCTTTTAAAATGAAATCTCTGGGAGCCTCCAGTGGATGCTGGAAGAAAATAAATCACTCTGAAAAGTAACATTTCTTAAAACCAAACAACTCAAAAGGTCTTTTCCTGAAGGTTATATTGACAGAGAAGATGAACATCTTTTGGTTAGTTTTGACATCTTTCATCAATTTAATAAATTCTGAGGGTAGTTTTATTTTAGTCCATCCTCCTTGATTTTCTGCACATTTTCTACTTCTAACTCTTCTCTATTCCTAAGTGGGTTGATGTGTACCTGATATAAGATCTCATGTCTCAATAATGAATTCATCCAAGTTTATTATCATCCTTGAACACAATTGTTTCTATTGTAAGAACCATTAACAGCATTGAATATTACAAGAAAATCTTGTAAGTAGACCAAAATGGAACCAAGTTATAAAATAATCCTTCTCATCAATGTGCTCAACAAACATTCAGGCAATAGAAATACAAAGATTAACAGTTTGCCCAAGGATCACATAATCTAATGGAGAGTTATCTGTAAATAAATAAGATCCTATGACAACATATTAACCTGCCCTATCATAGAGGAGATGATGTAGACTTTGTCTTGAAGAGGGAGTGTGCCAGGCAGGCAATTGAAGGCATTAGAAGATCCCCAATGTGAGGATGTTACAGAAAGGACAGGAACTGGAGAGGTGGCATGCACCTGTAATCCCAGCTACTCAGGAGACTGAGGCAGGAGGATCCCTTGAGACTAGGAGTGTGAGGCTGCCTGGGCAATAGAGCAAGACCCCTTCTTTAAAAAAAAATAATAAAACTAATAAAAAAAGAAAGGACAGGGTGTTTGGCTTGTAAGGAATTGAAAACCCCTATTCAATGGCTTAACTCACAAGGGTTTTATTTTACATAAGACGTCTAGAAGGAGGTGGCTCCAAGATTGATCAATTTGATGCGTTGATGGCATCACAGGAACGTAGGGGCTTTGTCTTTCTTCATTGCATCTTCAGTGTCCTTCATTGCCTTGGTCCTCAGGCTGGTTCCTATCATGGTCACAAGATCCCACCACAATTCCCAGCATCACAGGCAGACATGTCTACATCCAGCTGAAGAAGAGACCATCTCTTCCTGTATACTTCATTTTAAAAGAAAGCACAGTTCTCTTTATATGTTACTGATCAGACTGTCACATACCTGCTTCTGAAATGCTAGCAAGGGGAATTTGATGGCTGCTTTAGAATGTTCAGAATTTCCTCCTGACCTGAAGCTAGGACCACTCTCCTGAGGGGTTAATTCCTAAATAGTCATGACAACCTGTCAGTCTGCCCTATCACAGAGATGGCTGAAGAAGTGGGGACAGACTGTTGGGCAGACAACCAATAGAATCTGCCACAGCAATGAATTGACTTTGGGGCCTTGTGGTGTAGGGGCAGTGGGAGGTGAAGAATGGGCATAAGGTCCAATATGGGGACATGGATGGCTTGTTACATCATTCACAGTTGGGTACTTCCTTTGAGAGAGACGGTTATGAGCTCACTTCTGGACATCTTGAGTTTGAGGTATTGGTGTGCATAAGACGAGTAGAGCCGCCAGCCTGGGAACAGGATGTGGAGACGTTTGTAAGCGGGTGTCATCTACACACTGGTGGTCCTTGAAGTCCCCAGGATGTGAGTGCCCAAGATAACATATATAAGAAAGGAAACACAAGAATTGTACCTTGGAAAAGACCATATCTAGAGAGCAGGAGACAGAAGAATCAACAAAGAAGACAAAGCATTAGTGGTTAGAAACTGGTGGAAGAGGAGGTGTGATGGGGAGAGGGAAGGAACTAGAACCATTCTGTGTGACAGAAGTTAACAAGAGCCTTCCAAGATTGAGTAGCCTGCAGAGAAAACTGTCAGGAAGGTGCAAATGAAGTAAGGCCATGGATTTGGGAGGCTACCAGTTCTTGATAACCAAGGGAGCAGCTTCCATGGCATGGTAGTCACAGAAAAGCATGATGGATTAAAAAGACAGTGACAGGTAAGAAAGCAGAAGCAGGGAATATGTTTTAGAAATTCTTGCATACAAGGATAGGAAAGAGGAGGACTCGCTAGAGCGTGGAAGGATTGACAGGTTTCCTGTTTTGTTTAGTATAAGAGAGACTATACATTTTTACAAGCTGAAGAAAAAAGAAAGAAGTTGAAGAATCAGTGGATAATTTAAAAATACCAGGCATGATTCCTTCTCGAGTTTTTGCCTGGCTCGTCTCTCTGCCTAGAACCCTTCTTCCAAATGTCCACACAGACAACTTCCTTGCCTACTTCAAGCCTTTGTCCAAATGTCACCAGTTGGTGAAGCCTACCCTCGCCAGCCTATATAATGGGCCACCAATTAGGAAGCCTCCTGCACACCAATCCCCCTTAACCTGCCCTATTTTTCTAAAGCATCACTTGTCATGCTCCATAACTTAGATTTACCTATTTATGATAATTATCGTTTCTCTCTCTCCCCCAGCTGGAACGTAAGCTCCATAATGATAGGAATCTGTTTTATTTTATTTATTTAGAGACAGGGTCTTGCTCCTGTCACCCATAGCTGCAGTGCAATGGTGTGATCTCGGCTCACTGCAACTTCTGCCTCCCAGGTTCAAGTGATTCTCCTGCCTCAGTCTCCTGAGTAGCTGGGATTACAGGTGCACACCACCACGCCCGGCTAATCTTTGTATTTTTAGTAGAGATGGGGTTTCACCCTGTTGCCAGACTGATCTCGAATTCCTGACTTCGTGATCCACCCGCCCCAGCCTTCCAAAGTGCTGGGATTACAGGCATGAGCCACCACATCCAGCCTAGGAATCTGTTTTATTCACTAATGTACCTCAAGCACCTTGAACCCTCTCTTGCATGTAGCAGTCTCAGTAAATGTCTTTTTTGAATGAATGAATGAACTCTACTATGCTTTCAACTGCAACCCAGCATGATTTTTCTCCCTTTCCCTGTTCTGTTTTGGCTCTGTTTTTTTATATATGACATACCAATGTTTTACATTTATTATGTTTTCTATCTCCCACAGTAGAAATCAAGCCCCAGAGGAACAATGATTTTAATATGTTGTTACTGATGTATCCCAAGCACCTAGAAGTGTGCATGACACATAGTCGGTGCTTAGGAAACACTTGTGGGATAAATGAATGAATCAGTGAAGATTCAGAGGTTGAAGGAAATGAGATTAAGAATCTATGTTTGCCTGGGAGAGGGCAAGAGATGCATGTCCTCTGAGACTGGAGAAGAGGAAAAGTACACAAATAAAACCAAATCAAGCCATGGAGCAGGTGTACAGAATCAGGCATTTGTTCAAATCTGCCTCTGCCACTTAATAACTGTGTGATTTGGGGGCAAGTTACTTCCTTTCTCTGTACTTTCACTTCCTCCTTTTTAAGACATGAATGATAATAGTGTCTGACTCATAGAGTTGCTTGTGAGGATTAAACAAATTAATATGTTTAAAATATTTTAAAGAAGTTAAGCACTATGGCTCACACCTGTAATCCCAGCACTATGGGAAGCCAAAATGGGAGGATCACTTGGGCCAGGAATTTGAGACTGGCCTGGACAACATAGTGAGACTTCATCTCTACAAGAAATGAAAAAATTAGCTGGACATCGTGGCACACACCTGTAATCCCTCAGGCTGAGGTGGGAAGATCACTTGAGCCCAGGAGTTCAGAGGCTGCTGTGAACTGTGATTGTGCCATTGGACTCTAACCTGGGTTAGATAGACCAAGACCCTGTCTCAAAATAAATAAGTAAATAGGGCCAGGCACAGTGGCTCATGCCAGTAACCCCTGCACTTTGGGAGGCCGAGGTGGACAGATCACCTGAGGTTGGGAGTTTAAGACTAGCCTTGCCAACATGGTGAAACCCCATCTCTAAATACAAAAATTAGCCAGATGTGGTGGTGGATGCCTGTAATCCCAGCTACTCTGGAGGCTGAGGCACGAAAATCGTTTGAACCCAGGAAGCGAAGGTTGCAGTGAGCTGAGATGGCACCACTGCACACCAGCCTGAGTGACAGAGCAACTCTGTCTCAAAAAAAAAATTAAGTGAATAAATATTTTAAACAGTGCCTGGCACACAGAAAGCACTATAAAAATTAGCTGCTGCTGGTGGTGGTGATGGTGGTCATAGTAAAGTGGAAAAAAAAAAAAGGAACAGCAGAATTAAATATGCTAATATCCATGGGGTTTGACCTGGAAGGGAAGGCAGGAGGACAATATGGAACCAGCATAGATTTAACAGTGAGTTTGGGCTTGGGGATGAAGTTGGGAGCGTGAGTCGACAACACCTGATTCTAGTTCTGTTTGTGACTGTGATTCTGTTTGGTGAGCCTGGCTAGTTAGACCTGCTGTGGGCACCCTGGGTTTCAGTAAACTCCTACTCTGATGAACAGATTAAAAAATAGGATCAGAGTTTAAAAATACAGATATTTTTCTCTGCAGACTAATTCCAATTTCTTAAAACTTGTATGAATAAAATAATGGCACTGATTTTTTCTGCTCTGAGATCTTTTTGGTTTTTGTTTTAATTTTGTAGGTATTTTGTAATTTTTTATGTTTCAATGTTTAGAACAAGATCTAGGGGATTCGAGGCAGGAAACACAAAAGGCCAGGCTAATCACACGAACAGAGCCCACTACAATGGCTGCAGTGGGCCACACATCTCTGGAAAAGACAATTCCCCAAAAGAGTGCCTGGGGAAGGCAGATAAAAGACGAAGTTGGGTCATGTGACAGGTGTCACTTGAGTAACCATACTGGGGCCGGAGATAAAAGCCCACTCCTTCAGGTCACATGACCCAGCTTCATTACACTCCCAGCAGGGGGTTAGAGAGTCTGGATGCCATTTTTTCTTATTTATTTATTTGTGTTTTTCCCCCTTATTCTGTGATAATGAGAAAATGTTTAAACTCCCATCTCTGTGTTTAAACATTTCTTCCTGCTGACAGCAGCGGGATATCCCTTGATCAACTGTCAGATTGGAAAGTGCAATTTTTCTGGAAAGTAAACAGCATGTTAGCTGGTTGGAAATAATTTTCTGTTTATTGGTAGCTGTTACTCTAGGAGTGATGGAGCCCTGTGACAGCCCTTGTCAAGTGAAGAATAAGAAACAAGTTTGGAAATGCCTTTAAGACATGGCTCTGACAATAGGGCCTTACTAGTTTTTGATAGAAATGAACTCTAAAAAAGTTAAATTAAAATGGGCAAAAAAAACTTTTCCAGTATTACCAGCTCTCAGAGATCCTTCTGGCAAAACTGACAGAGAATCAAAGGCAAACTCATGGAATGCTGGAAATGGATGGGTCCTTGGCAGGCACGAAATCCAACCCCTGTGTTTTACTACTGGGGGAACCTTGGACTCTTCTCATAAATAAGAGGAAAGCATAACAACTATCAATATAACAAATAAAAGTTTTATTTTCTTTTATGCATGAAGATAAATACTAAAAGCTAGTGGAAGCAGTTTAAACATTTTGACTTAAGTATACTTAACAAGGTTTAATGCACATATAGATATATACAGTTGGCCTTGAACAACACAAGGATTGGCAGTGCCAACCCCCCACCCACTATCCCGCACTCCCCATTCTGTGTGTGGTAGAAAATCTGCATGTGGCTGGGCGCGGTGGCTCATGCCTGTAATCCCAGCACTTTGGGAGGCCAAGGTGGGTGAATAACAAGGTCAAGAGATCAAGACCATCCTGGTCAACATGGTGGAACCCTGTCTCGACTAAAAATACAAAAAATTAGCTGGATGTGGTGGCAGGCACCTGTAGTTCCAGCTACTTGGGAGGCTGAAGCAGGAGAATCAATTGAACCCAGGAGGTGGAGGTTGTAGTGAGCCAAGATGCACTCTAGCCTGGCAACAGAGCAAGACTCTATTTCAAAAAAAAGGAAGGAAGGAAGAAAAGAAAGAGAAAGAAAGAAAATCTGCACATAACATTTTCTTTTCTTTTTTTTCTGAGACAGGATCTAGCTCTGCACCCGGGCTGGAGTGCAGTGGTACAATCATAGCTCATTAACTTCCTGGGCTTAAGCCATCCTTCCACCTCAGCCTCTCAAACCGTTAGGTCTACAGGCACATGCAACTACACTTGGTTGATTTTTAAATTTTTTGTAAACACAGAATCTTGCTATGTAGTTCAGGCTGGTCTTGAACTCCTGGTCTCAAGTGAGCTTCCCACCTCGGCTTCCCAAAGTGCTGATTTCAGGCATCAGCCGGCACACCTGGACTGCATATAACTTTTGACTCTTCAAAAAAACTTGTCTACTAATCATCTACTGTTGACCAGAAGCCTTACCAATAAGATAAACAGCCAATTAACACAGATTTCATGTATGTACTTTATACTATATTCTTACAATAAAGTAAGCTACAGAAAAAAATCTTAGAAAATCCTAAGGACAAGAAAATATATTTACTTTTCATTAAGTGGAAGTGGCTTATCATGAAGGTCTTCAACTTTATGTCTTCATGTTGAAAGGGCTGAGGAGGAGGAGGAAGGACTGGTCTTGGAGTCTCAGGGTATAAGGGGAAGAAGAAAATCCACTTATAAGTGGCCCTATACAGTTCAAACCCAAACCCGTGTTATTCAAGAATTAACTATACTTACATATACAATCTCTTTTTTTCTAGTGACTTAAAGAACATCATTAGTTTTTTGTCATCAGGAAAAAAAAGTTACTGAAAAGAAAGTGGTTTTTTGGGGATTTTTTTGTTATTTTGAGACAGGGTCTCCTCTGTCACCCAGGCTGGAGTACAGAAGCACAATAATGGCTCACTGCAGCCCCAACCTCCCTAGTAGTTGGGACTACAGGCACACACCACCACACTCAGCTAATTTTTTTTTTTAAGTAGAGATGGGGTTTCATCATGTTGCCCAGGCTGGTCTTGAACTCCTGGGCTCAAGCAATCCACCTGCCTCGGCCTCCCAAAGTAGTGGGATTACAGGCATGAACTACCACACCTGTCCAAAGGCTTCTCATATAAGTAATATATATTCTCAAGCTATATATAGGTTCATATCTGTCTTCAATTAGGGTAAGTTTAAGGTCCTATTTGTCCCAGAATTCACCTCACTTTTTCCTGATAGTTAGAAAAGTAATTCCAGCTGCTTGATGAGGTGCTTTCACCTAGATATTTCTAACAACTATGTCAAATTCTGCATGTCCAAATTTCTCCCTCCATCAAAAAACAAAGCAAAAAAAGATCTTCTCCACTCCCATTTTGGTCAATAGCATCACCATCCACCCAATTGCCTGATTCCGCTCTCCCTGCCTCCTAAAAACCTTTCAGCCCATCTTCTATGGCCACTGCCAGGCCATGTGGTTCTCAAAGTGAGGTCCCTGTACCAGCAACAGCAGCAGCATCCCCTGGGAAGTAGTTAGAAATGCAAATTCTTAAGCTCACCTCAGACCTACTGAATAGGGAATTGGGTGGGGTAGAGCCTAGGAAATCTCCATTCACTAAAGTGAGAACACTGCTCTGGCTCTACTAGGCAGGTCTTGCCCTGTAGTATCCTAACCAGACTTCCAGCCACCAATTTCTTCTCTGGAGTTTTCCCCATAGTTCTCAACCTTGGCTGCATGTTGGAAACACCATGAAAATTCTGATGCCTGGGTCCCACTCCCGGGAATTCCTGATTCATTGCTCTGGTCTGCACAGGACTTTTCTGAGTGCCCCATGTTATTCTAAGGCGTAGCCAGGGCTGATAATCACTGCTCCACACTAAGTCAGGGTTCTCTTTTTTAAAAAAACAAATCAGATGATGTCACTATCCCCCCTTTAAAAAATCTCCATCAGTCATAGGATAAATTCTGAACCAGCACAGCTCCAACTGAGTGCTCCAGCTGGCTCCATCAGCCACCAGGCTCACTCACTTCCTCTACACTCAGCCACATGGAATTTCTCATTATTCCTTGAATGCAGTATTCTGTTCACATCCCTAGCCTTTTGCACTTTCTGTTCCCTCTGCTTAGAATGCCCTTCTGCATTCTCTTTGCCTGGTGAACTCTCATCCTTCAATGCTCAGCTGAAAATTCCTCCAGCCCAGGGTGAGTTACTCTCTCCTCTGGGATCCCAGAGCACTCTGTTGCTATGTATATCATACTATTGATCCCATTTCATTGTAGTTACTAATTGACACTTCTTTCTCCCTTTTTTTTTGAAATGAAGTTTCCCTCTTGTTGCCCAGGCTGGAGTGCAGTGGCATAATCTCGGTTCACTGCAACCTCCACCTCCCAGATTCAAGCGATTCTCCTGCCTCAGCCTCCCAAATAGCTGGAATTACAAGTGCCCGCCACCATGCCTGGCTAATTTTTATATATTTAGTATAAACAGGGTTTCATCATGTTGGCCAGGCTTGTCTCAAACTCCTGACCTCAGGAGATCCACCCTCCTTTGCCTCCCAAAGTGCTGGGATAACAGCCGTGAGCCACCATGCCCGGCCTCTTTCTCCTTTTTAAAAACTGACAGCATTAGGAAATTCGAAAAATGCTTAGCTTTTTAATTTTATTTCCAGTGTCTAGTGTAAGTTGTGCATTGAGATGTTCAATCAGTGTTGGTTAAGTGAGAGAATTGGAAACAACACCACTTGCTGCCTTCCATTGAGATCAAATCATGGGGCCATTTTGCTTTTCTTTCCAGAATTGGTAAAGATCATATATCTCATATCATATACATATGACTTAGTAATCACATACACATACACGGGACTACAAGCCAACCAGATCAAGTCTGTCACTTGCTGGGCTTTGTTTTCTAATCTTTAAAATAAGGTTAATACTGCTGATTTTGTAGAGTGTGAAGACTCATTGTATAACACCCAGCAGCATGCCTGACACAGACTAGGCCCTAAATAAATTAAAATGTTTATTATAATAATAAGTAAATAAAGCTCACTGAAAAGAAAGTTAAACTGAGCAGCACTTCTGTTTATACATCTGTCTCTCTCTTCAGTGTGAGCTGCTGAAAGGCAGAAACTGTCTTATTTATCCGTGTGTTCCCTGGGGCGGAGAACACAGTAGGCATTCATTAATTAATTCAGTCCCTCATTCACCAGGCATTTATTAAGCTAATGAATGAAATGAATAATATTTGGGTTAGAATGATGGCTTGCTGTTTGGGGCAGAGAGAGACTCACACATTTGTCTATCTTACAAAACAGAGAATCACAAACTTGGCTGCTGGAAGGTGTCTCAGAAATCATCTTTAAAGGTTCTCATTTACAGGCGAGAAAAGGGAGATACCTAACCAGGAAAGCCGTTTTAATTTTAATGTTGAGGATAACATTTCTGGGTTGCAAATGGATGCTGAAGCGAGTTCACATTTGTAAATGTTCTTGGGTGGGTGATACTTAACTAGGACAGCACTTGGCTTTTCATAAGGTGAGAAACTGAGCAATTGAGAAGAATTTTAGCAAAAATCATCAGAGGCATCTTTGAGTATCATCAATTCCATATTATATAGTTTCTCTCATGGAAAATAAAGCACCTTCTACCCACTATGCATTTAAATTTATGTTGCTCTGTCCTTTCAAAGGGCAGGTAGAAGGCACAATTTAGGTCATTTAACAGGTGTTATTCCAAGCAACAACAAAGAACAGATAAAAAAGCATGTAGCAGATGTAGTCATGTAAATAAACCTCTTTTTCAAAATGAATCACCACATGTCCCCAAGATTGGAATCACCCCCAGGAGCTCTGAAAGCCACTTTCAAGACAGCCTGGTGTGAAGTCTCCCAGATACAGAAATGAATGAATGCATGCATGTATGCATGCTCCAGACCAGCCAGAGACTAAACTCCAAGCACTGTTAGGTTTCCCTGTGACCTTTCAGACTTAATGTGACTCTATGAGAAAGCACTGTTTCGGCCCCAGATAACAAGCTGCTCTCCAAGAACGCGTGCTAAGAAAAGTGCTTGATCAGAGTGTCAGCTTGT